AAGAGGGTGCTATCTAAAAATTTTTTTTTTCAACGTTTATTTATTTTTGGGACAGAGAGAGACAGAGCATGAACGGGGGAGGGGCAGAGAGAGAGGGAGACACAGAATCGGAAACAGGCTCCAGGCTCTGAGCCATCAGCCCAGAGCCTGACGCGGGGCTCGAACTCCCAGACCGCGAGATCGTGACCTGGCTGAAGTCGGACGCTTAACCGACTGCGCCACCCAGGCGCCCCTTTTTTAAAAATTTTTTTTTTCAACGTTTATTTATTTTTGGGACAGAGAGAGACAGAAGGAGGGTGCTATCTATACTTGTGCCGAGATAGATGCGTAAACGTGGATCATCTCAGGCAAACTGAGATGTATGACGAGCCTCTTCCTGTAAGTGATTATTCCCATTGCCCGGTGTCCATACTGGAACCTGACTGGCTAGGTCACTTGCTAAGGTGGTGGGGTCAAAAGCTAACCTCAGCTACTTTGGCTGCCTGTGGCAGACCAGAAATGCCCTGTGATCAGCCCTCGGGCCCTGGGAGTGGTGGGTAAATCTCCAGCTCTTTCACCCTTGGGTGGGGTGGCTCTGAGGTGCCTGTACTGAGCTATCTCCCAGAGTTTCCAGTGCGACTGACCCCCATTGTCTGCCGCAGCATGGTGACTGGCTTGTTATCACAAACCGTGTTTGGCCTTCCTTGTCTCCCTCCTGCCTCCCTGCAGGCCCTTCCTGGGGATTACCTTCCAGATAAACTACTTGCACTTTAACTCTTGTTTCAGGGTCTGCTTCGGGGGAGCCCAAACTAAAATGACCAGGAGAGGGGGAATCCAGCTGTCGATTAGTGCTCATTGTCATACTTTATGGCCAGTTAAAAAACAGGATTCAAGAACAAGTCACAAAGTCACAAACCAGCCAGAGGTCCCACAGAAGAAGCTAACTACACCAGCTTAGTTTCTTTCCTCCTGTGAGAGGAAAACCCAACTAATTATAGTAACATTCCGATAGGAAATATTTACACTTTTACACTCCGCATCAACAGAGCGGAGCAGGATATCATGATAATACCATTGCCCTGGTACAGGACAGGGCAAAGTATACAAATCTAGGGAATCTATCCTTTTAGGGAAAAATACTAACTTTCAAAAACAAAAATCTAGGTGAGAAAGAGAGATTTAAAAATCCTATGCTGTCACAAGTAAAACTTCATTATAAAATGGGTCTTAGTCTGATGATCAACGGCTTGGGTTACGTTGGACCGTACAAACGTGTTCCGTGTTCAAACCAAAAGCCAGTCAGTCCATATTCAAAATTCAGTATCTGGTGATTTTTTTTTCTCCGAAGTCACTCAGTTTCCCCAGAGAATTTTCTCCTGCCCCAGGGAAATACATGCCAGGTGACCAGCACCCTAGAAGAGAAGTGAAGCGGTAAATGGAGAGATGGAGATTGTACAGCTCATCTTTCATGATGCATCCACTGTCTTAATTCCTTTGTTCCAGTATGGTCTTATCCTGTCCTTAGCTGTGTTTCAACTAGGTGACTTTCAACTCAAGACCTCTCCCGTTCAGTTTCACTCAGCTTTGCCAGGCTGCACAGGAATGGGGTAGGCGATCTGAAATTCTAACTGCTTCTTGGGCCCTGGGCTAACCCTATGGCTTTTCAGCTCTACCCTTCACCCCCACCTTCTGTTGTATCTGGTACATCCAGTTACTTTTTTTTTTTTTTTTAATTTTTTTAATGTTTATTTATTTTTGAGAGAGAGAGAGATAGAGTGCGAGTTGGGGGAGGGACAGAGAGAGAGGGAGACACAGGATCTGAAGCAGAATCCAAGCTCTGAGCTGTCTGCACAAGAGCCTGACGTGGGGCTGGAACTCACCAGCTGTGAGATCATGACCTGAGCTGAAGTTGAATGCTTAACCAACTGAGTCACCCAAGCGCCCCTGGTACATCCAATTCGTAAGCTTTTCTGAGACTCCTCTAGGTGAACCATCTTGTTTTCCTTTCCCAGTGCCCTTTGCCCCATGTAGGTGTCAGCTTGCTTCACTCCATTAAGTCAGTTGCCACTAATCTCTCTGTTCAGCCCTCTGAAAATTTGTTGGTATATCTTGTCCACTGTGATCTTTTCTTCCTTATTTTTGTGGAGTTTTCGTCTAAAAATAAATTCTTTGCTGCCATTTTTGGTAGGGCTTGGGAGAAGTTGTGGAGATGATGCCCGCATTCAAGCCACCGCAGCTGATGGGAAGCTCAGCCATTCCTTCGAACTTTCCTTTTTTGGGACCCTTCTTGCCAAGCTCTCCTCAGTTCAGGCTCACCACGCCCAGGAAGCACACGGCTCCCTTTACTGCACCTTACTCCAGTTGTTCTCACACCTTGTTTATGCTGTTCTGCCTGAAATTCTAACTTCTCTTTAACTTTCTGCTTTAGGTACAATCACATTTTGGGAAGATCTCTATTTTAGAACTTATTCCAGATTTCCTTGTGTCTTGAATTAGTTGAGTAGGAATTTGTCTCCCTGCACCTTGAGGGTAGGGAGGGACTTGACCTTGTTCAATATTTCTCTCCCTGAGACACGCTTTATGAGTAAATATTTTCTAAGTGTTTATTCCACTGGATTAAATTGAAATGATATTTTTTCCCTTTGTTTTGTTTCTGGGATATCTATTTTTTCTTTCAAATGGGATTACTGTGTGTGGTTGATGGAGTTTCTGGTCCCAGTTCTTCACTGCAGTGTGACAGTTACACACCCGCACCCTTGCCATGGCCCTGGGGGTGGGCGGTGCCTCTTCCCTGCCTCTCGACTTTGGCTGTGGCCACCTGGTTTGCTTTGATGAAAGGGGTGTTAATGGACAGGATGCAAACAAAGGCTTGGAAAGAGATTGTGTGGCTGGGCTTCTTTTCCTCCTCTTGTCATCACTAGTTCTAGGAGGAAGAGAGACATTTGGAGCACAGCTCCCCTAGCAGATTGAAAGATCTGCAGCTCGAAGGAGAGCTATCCAGCTGACCTGCCGATCTGGGAGTGCAGCGCTAAATATTTCTTCTTGTGTGCCACTTAGTTTTGGGGTCAGTTTGTTCTGTAGCAATATTTAACTAATACCTGATGTCAGAAGGAACAAGTGCTTTTATATCCTTTCTTTGTTCTGTGCTGGTTTTGCTCTCTAGGAAGCCGGAAACCAATTTACCATGCCATCAGCATGATACATGTGTATCTACCAAAAATACTCATGTGGCTCTCCTTGATTTGATCATAACATCTATTTTTAAATGCCTTAAGAAAAGAAAATAGAACAATAACCGCACCACCACCACAACTCTGGACCTTATCTTAGAGTCACTCTCAACTGAATTCATTCCATTATCTTACAGTCTTTTGGGGGAAATAATAAAACCCATCAAAGATCTGTGTCCTTTTCTTGAACTTTGGTAACTATAATTTTAATTTGTAATATAATTATGTAATTATGTGCAATCCATATAGTTGTTAATTATATGGCACTGCTAAGCTGAATCCTTTTTTTAGGAAAACAACCTTTTTGATAATGATTTTTAAATCGGAGACTTGGGGCACCTGGGAGGCTGGCTGTTTCGGTTAAATGCTCAGCTCGATTGTGGCTCAGGTCATGATCTCACTTTTTTTGAGTTCAAGCCCTGCATCTGGCTTTGTGCTGTTAGGGTAGAGCCTGTATGGGATTGTGTCCCTCGCACTCTTCCCTCCCCTGCTTGCTCTTTATCTCGCTCTCTCAAAGTAAATAAAAATAAACTTAAAAAAAAAAAAAATTGGAGGGCACCTGGGTGGCTCAGTGGGTTAGGCAACTGACTTCTGCTAAAGTCATGATCTCACCATTCCTAAGTTTGAGTCCTTAATCAGGTGAGTTCCAGCCCTACTTCCGGTGAACACGAGCCCCCATTTGGTTAAAAAAACACACAAGCCCCACTTCAGGGGAGCCCTGCTTCTCTCTCTCTCCCTCTCTCTTTCTGCCCCTCACTCACTGTGCCCCCCCCTCAAAAAATAAAAAAATAAATTGGAGACATGACAAAATAGTCATATGTTGGATCATTCTCATCAAATGCTGTTAGTTTCCTTCAACACCCACAATTTACTTTTAAATTTGTTAAAGCCCAGCCTTGTTATTTCCACAATACAAATTAAAATTAAACATAGTGGCAAAAAATTCTTTTATATTCTCGAATTGAGAGTTGGCCAATTTACTAAATCTTTTAGGCTGTGAGGGTTTTTTTCTTTAGTGTAAAGAATCAGTTATGCCAATATCCTCATGGAACTCTACTTGCTTCTTGCTTCTACTCCGGAAAGGATGGCGGAATCCACGGGAGCAAGGGTAACATTGTAATGATAACCGTGCATTTGCTTCTTAAGTTGTTGTACAAAGAATGTTTTCCAAACGCAGATGCATAGGTATTAGTAAAACTTACTTGCCGCACACATCACAATTTTATGAGATGGCCATTTATTTTGCATCCGTGGTTAAGAACCCCTAACGTAAGGAGGGTTCCTAAATGTCATGTTGTAATTATGCAAAAGAATTGCTGAAGAGATCGGGGAAAAAAAATGGCATTGTTGAAAAGGCCTGTAATTGAGAGCTTGACCGAAAAAGAGGAGACAAAGCGAGGGTCCCTGGGCTTTTGAGCTAGTCCAAGTTTAACAAGCTCCCTTGGGCTTCCTTCACAATTCCCAGAGGAAGCAGTCCTGCCTCTCTTGTCCTCCTGACCCCCCATTCAATCATAAAGCGACAGGCTTTAACAATCCCAGAACAAAAACCTCATTGCCCAATTTAACCTTCCAACCCCCAGAGCTGCATGGTCCGCTAATCCGGCGCACAAAAGCAGGCCTGCTGCTCTTTTATTCTTCCGGGGGCTGGGCGCCGTGTTGAGCTCAACAGCTGATGGGCTCTGGAACGTCCCAGCAGCGTGCCTGGGCCCCCCCGATGTTTATTTAGCGTCCCGCCGCCCCAGCGCACGGCCTCCCCGAGCCGGTTCGCGCGCGCTCGCCCGCACCGGAGCCATGTACCGGCGCAGCTACGTCTTCCAGACCCGCAAGGAGCAGTACGAGCGCGCCGAGGAGGCGCCGCGCGCCGCCGAGCCCGATAGCCTGGCGGAGGGCCGGACGGCGGCGCCCAGCCTGGCCGCGCTGCAGGGGCTCGGC